CAATTCCCCATTTATTCCATTTAGGCCGAATTGTGCCTAGGTACGCCTCAAAGGATTTTCAATCCAATTCAACTATTCAACACCTCATACAATCCTATTATAACATCATACAACCATACAATAACTCACAGACACAATCCTAACAATTTTCCAAATCATAAAGTCATTGAATCATCCAAAATTTCCTAAGTTAAAATCATATTTTCACCAATAATTTTTATTGCATTTATAGCTCTAACACATCATTCTAAGACATAATCATCTAATACACAATCTCATTTTGAGCTCTCTATCTCCATAAATCAAGCATACAAGCTCTAGGTTTTAATGAAATTAAATCATCAAATCAATTCATCAAAGGTGTTGAAACTTACCCACAATTAAGTCACAAGACTCCTTCAATTGATCTCCAAGCAATGGCTTGAGCAAACAACTCCAAAATCACAAAAATCCTCTCCATTTTTGTGGCTGACTTTGCCCATTATCTCACAAACGAGAGGGTTTCAAGGTTAATGGATGGTACAGTTGAGTCCAAATCGTCGTTTACTTGAAGTTTGATGACAAATTTCGTTGGATTCGGTTGAGTATTGAGTGAGTATGAGAGGATGAAGTTTTGAAGCCCAAACTTGTTCTCCAATGGGGGCCTGCGGGTTTGAGAGGAGTGAGGGGAGGAAGATGATGATGTAATGGTGGCTTTGCCATGTGGCAAGGTTCACTTAAGTGGGGTGGGTCCCACCGCCACCTCACACATTTTCAAATTAATTCAAAACTCCCTCCGATTTCACTAAACGTCCGTAATTTCATAACCTATTTAGAAATTCTAATTTTTAACATTAACCATTGTCCTTTAATTACCCTTGATCATATGAATCTGGAGTTTTCCGATCGTTCGGAGAAAATGCAGTTTTAAGTTGTTACGCGCGCCATAGTCACGCTTCCCCAAACTCACTAATTTCCGTCAAATTTTATCAAAAATCATATTTCCTAGTTCTATACACCATTTATAACTTATATCCAAACCTAGAGCTTAAGACTCATTCGGCACGCTTTACAGTACAACTGTACCGCGATATTTTTACCCGGCAAAAATACTATTCACTGAATTTTCTGAAACTTTCCTAACCACTCAATTTTTCGTTATGAATCCATTTCCAGGATTATTTTCATCATTTGAGACCTTCTACCCAATTTTACCTTCCTAGGGTTCTGTGTTTGGCTAATTACTGTTTTACCCTTTCTTTGTATTTTACACTAATTTCCAGGATTTTCACTAATCCTTCCCCTTAATCCATGTTTAATATTTTAATATATATAATTTAGAAATGCGAGGTGTTATTCCATCGACTCTCAAGACTTTCACAGCTGATAGTAAGTCCTCATTCTTTGTACTTTTTATTCTTTTTATGTCTCATTGTAAAATTGCTTCTTTGCACAAAATTTATTTAAAAAATAATGTATTATTTCTATTATGGGTGTATGCATCTAGATATCTTGTAAGCATTCTACTTCCTTGCCATTTTTTGTTTTTGATTTCTAGCAACATAGTCAAATTGTTAATATTTTGGGTCGTTGTGTGCATAGAAAAAAAAATTTCATCAAGTTAAACATACAAAAGAAACAAAATAATTATAACCAATATTTTACAGAGAGCAACATACCATTTTTGAAGTCTTGATAAGCCAAGACAAGCCTTATATTTTTGAAATATAAGCCAGACCAAGCTTATAATTTAGCTTGTATAAGGCTAACAAGCCAAACCAAATTTGAAATAATTTACACAAACCTAACCCATATAGACTAAAGCATGCTTTGTATTGACTCATTTACACCCCTATTTAGTGAAATGAACAAACATTTACGTAAAAAAAAATGAAAATTAAGTAGTGTTTTGTATATTTATTATATTATTAATTAACATATTTTTTTACAATTATAAAAATTTCATGCTTTTTTATTTATTTCATATTTCTACAAATTTGTAAATAAATTACTAAAAACATTTTTTTTCATTTTCATTATTATATCTTAAAAGTAAAAAATAATATGAAAATAACATATGTGTTATTTAATTATAAATAAAATATATCAATTAAAAATAGAAAGTAAACAAATTATCATCGAAAATATATAACAACATATGTGATATTTAGTATATTTCAGTCATGGCTCAAAAAGTCTACACCACGTGAGTAGACTTTTAGTTCTAGGGGCCTTCAGCTTGGTTTACTTTGGCCTAACTTGATCTATTTTAAAAATAGCACATATTTGATCTATTTCATGCATACATATAGGAAAAGGGATTGTTTGAGCAAATTGGATGGCAAATTCTATTATTGATACGGAAGATCATATTTTGTATCAAATCTGGTGGGATCCTCTCCCTGGTATTCAACATCTGCTCTTTGGTGATTTAACTGCTGTTAATAGGTCTAAGACAGTGGTGTGTAGGTGTTAGTTGTCTTGTCTTTTCTATTTCTTTTGGGCTTAGGCCTTTTGTTTACAAAAAAAAAAAAAACTTGTTTAGAAATCAGACCATAAGTCCATTTTGGTAGGCCTGACCTCTAACTCTTTAGACCGACTCATATTTTTTAATAAATAATATTGGGAAAAGTATTTCTCCAGTCACCAGAATAAAGTTATCTCCAGTGAGCTCAAAACGACGTCGTTTTAGGGTTATAAGATTAAAAAATTATAATGATAAAGACTAATATAACCCTGTAATATATTATAATTGGGTTATATTAGTCTTTATCATTATAATTTTTTAATCTTAGAACTCAAAATGACATCATTTTGAGCTCACTGGAGATAACTTTATCTCCGGTGACTGGAGAAATCCTTTACTTAATAATATTTTATTTTATTTTTGATAAAATAATATTTTATTATTTTTTATAAAATAATATCTTTTTATTTTTAATCAAATAATATTTTATTTTTAATAAATAATATTTTATTATTTAATAAAATAAAATCTTTATGATTTTTAAATTTTTTACAATTTTTTCTCTTCTTACGTGGCAACACATTTTTTCTTAATACATAAATTCCTTCGTTGCCACTTCTTTATTTTGCCAAATTTCGCTATTTTTCTGTCCCTTTCTTAACTTATACCTTTCAAACCATCCATCACTCACTATAGACTTTTAAGACTTTCGCAGTTGATAATAAGTCTTTATTCTTTATAATTTTTCCTTATAACTTTTAATAAAATAATATTTTATTATTTATTAAAATAAATTTTTTATGATTTTTTAATTTTCTAATTTTTTGCAATCTTTTCTCTTTTCACGTGCAAACACATTTTTTTCTTAATCCTAAATTCCTTCATCGCCACTTCTCTTTTCTTCTATGCCAAATTTCGCTACTCTTATGTCCATTTCTTAACTTCTTATATCTTTCAAACTATCCATCGCTCAGTGTAGACTCTCAAGACTTTGACAGTTGATAATAAGTCCTTATTCTTTGTAATTTTTCCTCTTTTTTGTCTCATTGATAAAATTGTCTCTTTACAAAATTTTCACTAAAAAATAACATATTATTTGACTTATGAATGTTGTATGCATTTTGTTCTTGTTTGTTAAATATGTGTTTATGTATGTAATTTATTTATTTTATTTGTTTCTCTTTATTTATTTATTTATTTTTTGTTGGGAAATTATCAGATAAGTTGGTTGGTGTATATTTTTAGAGCTGATGGTAGGTTCTCATTCTCAATATTTTTTTTTGTAAACTCATTCTCCATATTTTTTGTTTTATCATCCTGTTGACAAGTTTTGCCTTTTTTCAAAATTTTCATTAATAAAATAACATATTATTTAACATGTGAGTGTTGTATATATTTACATATCTTGTTCTTATTTGTTCCGCATGTTTTATGTTTATCTTTTATTATTTTGTTTGTTTTCTCTTTATTTATTTAATTATTCTTTGTTAAAAGATTCTCATATAAGTTGGTTGATCGGGGGACATGTTGAGCATTGAGTTGTATATTGTTGTTCTCCTTGTATGATTTAACGTAAATTTTGAATTGCAATGTACTTTTCATTTCAAAAATTGATTTTTAAATATATTTATATTTTATTAATCTAATTTGATTGGCTTTTACTTGTTTGGTGGTTTTTTTTTTATGTTTGTATATCATAATTGTTTAATCTTAAAATAAATATTTTTCTGCTTATTATTTATATAGATATGTGTGTGTTTTTGTATGCATGTATAAACTTTTAATTTATTTTAAATTAAATAAAATTTATTTTCATAATTAAAAATTACACAATTTTATTCGATGGATTGTTTTTTTATATTTTTTGGTACACTATGTTGTTTTTTATTCAACAACATAATTAAATTGTCAATATTTTACAAAATAATTATAACCAATAATTTGCAGAGTGCAATATATTATTTTTAAAGATTCATAAGCTATGTGTTGAACTTCTATTTGTATAAAATAAAATAAAATTTGTAAGCTAGGCCAAGCTTTGTAAATTTTAAAAACAAGTCAGATTAAATTTATAATTTAACTTGTATCAAACTAACAAGTCGGATATAAAATAATTTATATATACATAGCTTATTAAAAGTAAGTCTGACTTGATCTGAATCATTTATCTAAACACTTCCTGCAAACATATGATTTTCGTCTAGTCCATTTTCAACAACAGTGGGATCAATAAATAAACATACATGAAATGAGTAACTAAAAATACATAGAAATGAAATGGTTTAAAGAAACAAAAATTAAATGCTTCAATAAGAAAGCTTTATTTATTTATTTTTTTAAATTAAGGGATATTACAAATTTTATGAGATTTTGAGTATACAACTTTTTTTTTTCTGAGATTGAGAATCATGATCCGCGTGGCATACATGCCTCTTTTTGTAGAGTCTGAGTGGGCCCCACAGTGCTTACTAAGATGCTCTGTCTTTCTTAGTGCCTTTTGCATTGCCGATCAAGTTTCCTCTCCCTTTCTATCTTTCTCTCTCCTGTTTCATTTTCTATCTCTAAATTTCTCTTCGTCTCTCTTTATAAAAATATTCACTTCTGTGTCAATTTTTCTCGCTGAAATCCAAGTTCTAAGCGGTCACCGCTGATTCACTGCATCCTCGGTACTCCAAATTTCCCAACTTTATTAAATTCCATTCCTTTTTTGTTTTGTTTTGTGTTCCCTCTGATTTTTTTTCTTTTTTTGGAGAATTTTGTATATGTACATGAACTGTACTATTTTGTTTTCCTTATTTTGAAGGTGGGTTTTCTTTCATTTCCTTTAAAGTTGCCTCCTTTTGTATCAAATTTGATTGCTTTATTCAAAGCACCGTGCTTTGCATTGGGTTGTGAAATTTTCATTCCCTTGTTGCTATTCACCTGTTTCAATGCCCCAATAGTTTTAGCCGCAGAGTTGAGGTTATTTGGATCATTGGGTTGTGATATTACGTGGTTTTGGTTCTTGTTTCTATGCTAAAAGGGGATGTGGTGGTGGGAGGGTAGGTTGGTGAAGTTTGACTGTGGGAATAGTCATGGGATTCTCTTGCCTCTTTGCCACCAACTTTTGTGTTCTACTTTTATTTTATTTTATTTAATCTTTCTGATGATACACATAGTGTCATCTGTTTTAGTGTGTAAAGGCAGCATTGGTGGAGCATGTTATCTTTCTTCTTTCTCCTTTTCCAGATAAGCGAACAAAATTGCTTGTTAGTCAGATTAATTTCTACTTGCTTTTTTGTCAAGATGTATATTGATGGAGACATTTCATAGTTATAACACTTGATGCTAGTGAATATTATAATGTTTCAGAAGATGCATTCTGAGCTGTAATTTTTTTCTGTTGTTACTGGGTTTCTTGTATTTACTACTTGTATATAATCAATTTATTGGATCCGTAATATATTTAATATTGAATAAATTTGCAGATAGAAGTCCTAGACCAAAATTTAAGGCAAGGTCTGGGCTAATGGGGGCCTCAAGCTCCAAAATGGATGATGATAAGGCACTCCAACTGTGCCGTGAAAGGAAGAAATTTGTTAGGCAAGCACTTGATGGGCGTTGCACGTTAGCAGCTGCTTATGTTTCATATGTCCAGTCACTGAAAACTACAGGAACAGCTCTGAGAAAATTCACTGAACCTGAAGCACCAATTGAATCTTCCCTATACACTTCAACTAATGCAACGCCAGAGCCACATGCTTTTACTGAGAAGACCATGTCCCAATTCTCATTCTCTTCGCCATCTGTGTCACAACGCATTGATACAACTGAAAACTTTTCTCCAACTCCCTCTCCTCCTAGCTCTAGTAAGTTCCAAGCAAATCATATGAAATTTAGCACTGGTTCTTCTAAAAAGGTTGAAGAAAAACCACCGGTACCTGTTATAGGAAGAGTATCATCATTAGGTACTCCACAAAATCCCACCCCTCGTTCTACTGAAAGGTCTGAAACATCAGCATTTGAAGATTCTTCTCTCCCAGTTGAAAATCCACCATGGGATTTTTTCGGTCTTTTTCATCCTATTGACCATCAATTTTCTTTTCAAGAAGGGAAGGGCATGCACCAAGATATGAGGAATGCTGATGATATTACACAACTAAGGGAGGAGGAAGGAATTCCTGAGTTGGAAGATGATGAAGAGAAGGTTTCTTCTCTTGGAAGAGAAGACTCTCAGGACTCTGAAGATGAATTTGATGATGAGCCTTCCTCAGATACCCTAGTCCGAAAATTTGAGAATTTTAATAGAGTTAATGACAGTGTTCAAGCCAATGGATTACCTGCCACAAATAAGCCTAAGACAGACGGTCTAACTTCTGAAGTTGACTTTGTGAATGGGGAGAAGGGGAACTCTCCTGATGTATCATCATTAAAGACAGCAACTAAAGTAGCTGTGCTTCCAACCGAAACAAATAAATCAATGGAGAAAGAAAATCACACTGAAAATAAAGTTGTCCCTAAGGATTTCTTTTCAAGCATGAGAGATATTGAAATCCTCTTTGTTAAAGCCTCTGAATCTGGTAAAGAGGTTCCAAGAATGCTTGAAGCAAATAAATTGCACTTTCGTCCTATATTTCCAGCAAAAGAAAGTAATTTTTCTAGATCTCTATTTTCCATTTGTTTCTCTGTGTCGGGTTATCATTTGGTGAATATTAAATTTTGTCAGTTCTTTGTAGGATTTGGATCCCCTCTTGTGAGTTTTGACAGGGTCATGTGGAGAGATGTGACGATTATCCTCGACAGGACAAAATTTATGGGGCCTGTACTGGGTCTCTGTGTTCATCACTCTCTTTACATGACTCTATCATGTGAAAAAGTCACATGAGAGCATCCAAATCCATTGCTAGAAATTTACTAGTAAAATAAAAATGATGAGGTTTCTTATGACATGTCCTTTTCCTCATAGTTTGCAAACTATGTCACTTCTGTAGGCTACATTTGATATACTATACAGAGTATAGACACTTAACTGAAAAAAATAAGTAAAAAGAAATTTGCCCTATAGGCTATAGTCAGTTCCTGCTTTGATGTCTGTTACTGAGATCATGATGCATTTTTAACTTAAACAAGAGAATTCTTAATTGTAACAGATGGTTTTGTGGCATCCTCATTTTTGAGGGCATGTTTCTCATGTGGTGAAGACCGAAGTCAAGTTCCAGAGGGTACTTTTCTCAGTCCTTTTGCTTTTGATTTTTCCTGTTACTAGGACTTTGCTGATCATCTTGTCTTGTCTGCCATATTTGTTAATGCGATTCATGTTACTAACCTTTCTTGTGCTTATCTTGGTGTTTAACTACTTTCTTTGAGATTAGAAGCTTATGAAATACTCTCTATCTGTAGTCATGCTGTTTGTAGAAAGCTGTTTCTGAAATTCTATATCTAATTTATTCGTTAACCTTCTCAGAACCTGCTCAAGACTCAGTGAAGTACTTAACTTGGCATAGGACAATGTCGTCTCGATCCTCTTCGTCCAGAAACCCTTTGGGAGCAATCTCAAAAGATGATATAGATGACCTTACTAATAATCTCTTTGATAATTTCTGCATGATCTCTGGAAGTCATGCATCAACCTTGGATAGATTATATGCATGGGAAAGAAAGCTCTATGATGAAGTCAAGGTACTGTATGCTGTGTATTTCTTATCAACAATTACAGAATTTTTTTGTATTCGGGGTATGTTATGTTTTGATAATAGGATGTTGCAGAAGTCTTGTTTTGTATGTTAGACTAAGCTTTGAAGTTATTTAATTAAAATTTTTTTTAAGCAAAAAGGTACATGCCATAGGAAAATAAAGGATATTGTTAGAAATGTTATAAGAAAGTATGAAATTATTCATGTGCCTTCACCTAACAGCTTAAATATTTGGAATACTGGGTTCATGACATGATATCTAGAGCTTGAAGAGAGACAATCCAAACCGTTCATACCCAGTGGACCCACAGCCTGGTAGTGAATTTTTTTTGTGCCATTGTTTTTAAATCCAGTTTGCCAACCTTCGTCTGTAACCTCACTGCTGTCCACCATCATCAATCACTTTTCCCGTGTCTTTTCTAGCTGGTAACCGTATGACCAAAGTTGCCTCTATCTGCTTGGTCATCCACTGAAGACCTAGTTCCAAAGGCCCCTTCATATGCCCTCACACGCATCTCCAAGTTCTTGCATCTCAACTCATGCTTACAGCAGCTCCGATTCCTTCACTGAGAACGAGAAGGAAGTAATATATTATGAATAAGCCCTAAAGAAGGGGGCAGGATCTCTCCTAAAAGAAAGAATAGACCTCGAGCCTGTCCTACTTATTCTTCTTTTACCGTTCCTGACCAGTTCATTCCAGTTTCTTAGTAAAACAGTTTATTAGTTTGATACTGCTCCTTTTCATTTTACACACACACATGCATACAAATGGTACAGACAATTATTATGTTGTTGGTGTCTCATTCTTTATGATCTGTTTGACATCCAAGATACAGTTCTACTAGAAATAATATGCTACCCTATATAGCTTTATGCATTGGACTTATAAACTTGTCCAAATGGCAACTTTTGTTGAGAATTTACCGTATATAAGGCTCCATAAGAAAACTTTTATAACACGATTTCCACTTTCCTCAACATCAAACCACCATTTCCATCAGGATCAATGTGACCTAGTACAAGCATCAACACCAGCGTTGGCGTTTCAATCACCTGCACCCTACTATCACCACCACATCAACCTGTTGGCCCCCCTTCCTCTTGCTGACATTGCTTTGGCTTTTAACCTTGGATGAAGGGAAATTTTTATGTGTATATAGTTGTTCGTGCTTTGAGAATGTTTATATAGTTTGCATCAAAAAATTAATGATATAGGAGTTTATCCGCATCTTATCCTATCAGGCCTTATTATATCCTGACATGGCATATTTTTGTGGTTGTTTGACCCTTTTAGGGTTTTAAACGGGTCAATTTTCATGATTGGTATCAGTCGGAATTTATTTTCCAGTGGGGGGCTTTGAGTTTCGCGCCCTCTCCTCCACGGAACACCTTTTTTATTTATTTTTTATTTTTTTAAATGAGTACCGCGAAACTCATTTTTTTTTAAAAAGTGTCGTGGACCCCATCCTGTGGAACTCATTAATTTCTTTTTTTCATTATTAATGCAAAACTAATTCCGAAGTGCAGTGTGGTGGGTGTCAAAACATATCTTCCTTATTAAATCTTGTAAAACCTCCACTAAGCCATAACAATTTATTATTTTAGTGCTTTTATTATTATATTTATTAGCCTGTTAGTGTGAGGAACATTTGATTACTAATCTCATAAGATATTTTTAGCTTGTCAGCTGTCACGTCATTCTCTCTTTCCTTTTTCATATTTAAACCGTAAAGTCTTGACATGGTATCAAAGTGATACCCTCCACCTTGAGGAATGTTTCTCCATTCCACTATCTTGAGTTCATCGAACTCATTTTGTATATTCTCCTCTTGTTTTTCTGTTATCCTTTCATCCTTTGTTGACAAAATTGCGACCTTACTCGTAAGATCGCACAATTTTATGAGTTTTCATATCCCCGAGATCCTGTGGAGGTAGGATTTCAAAGATGGTAAGATCATTAGGATTGCTGTGGTTACTTGTGAGATCGTAGTATTAGGTGATCCTACGGTGGGTGGAAGACTTGATAGGTGGATGTAGAATCTGTAATTGTTGGGGCATACAACACAATTGGTGATATAATTTTTTTTTCTGCTTTATTATTTATGAAGCTTTTACTCGTGACACAATTAATACCACAGAAAGCTGGGCTTTGTCAGATGCCTTAAATAGCCACTTTTTTATATATAAAAATATAATTCGTAAAATTAATGTCATAGGCTACTTATATATACACTTATCAATAGCGTGCTATAACACTCCGATTGTGCGTAATGGAGGGTCACCCTGATTTTTGCTATGCAACGCTACAATTTGGTGTATTGCAGCCAAAATTGCAAATAATTACGACGCAATCATGCCTCAATAGCGAACAAGGGCAAAATTTCTCTTTTGCTTGTGCCGATCAACAAATTGAAGATGTGGCATAACAGCTTTATAATGTGTCTACTAGTGAAAGTGAGGGTGAAGTACACTTTAGAGACGGTGGAAAGTAAAAATTATATTAGTTCCTTTTGAGAATTCTAATTCGAATATGAAATATTGTAATTTGTAAGTGGCAGAATGGTAGTAAAAAATCGTATTTCAAATCGTAGGATTGTACAATTTTGCAATCTTCTCATCTATGATTGATCCAAAATGGTTGTTAAATCGGAAGATTGTAGGATCACTGTTAGAGATGGCAAAGCGGGCTGCCCGCCCCGCCTCGCCCTAACCCGCCAAAAAATGGGCTGGCCAGCCCCGCCCCACCTTTAAAGGTGGGCAAGAAAACTCAGTTCGCCCCGTCCCGTTTGGGCGGGCGAGGCGGGCTGCCCGCCAAGCCCGTGACATTTTACACTACAAAAAAAAAAAATTAAAAATCCAGCCCGGGCTTGGCTGGTTTAAAAAACTTGGCCCTCCCTTCCCCGCCAAACGGGGCGGGCTAGCTCGGCGGGGCGAGCCCGTTTTGCCATCTCCAATCACTATGGAAGATTGTTGAAATGGTGGGATTGCGTGTTGTACGATCCAGAAAAAAAATCCACCCGTATGTATAAATCAAGAGAAAACATAGCAGAGACCTCAAGTGATGCAAAAAAGGAGTTACATTGCCGAAGAAGGTGAAGTGGCATTGAAGAAGATGAAACGGCATTGACATTGTTTAAAAAAGTGGTTTAGGGTTATTTGACGATGAGGGATAGCAAATGGGCAAGTCCAATTTCAAACTGGGTTCTTTTAAAATTATTTGGTGTCGCGATTGGGGTTTGAAGTTAATTATACAAATAGAATTTATAAAATTGCTTATTGGCACCTATCTAGACATCTGAATTAAGGATGCACAAATAAGTGAACACTTATAAGTTTTAAAATTAGGCATATGTGAGATGCTTTAGAAAGGCATTAAACCAAGTTGAAAACATAAAAGAAAGATAGAGGCAAAATAACTTAATTAAATTTTTTTTTATAATTAAAATTAGGAAGGTAAGATCTTTACGATCCATGTTGATCCCACGATGTACGATCTTGCCACCCTTTTCTAATCTTAAGTAAGATCTTGAGTTTGACTATCTTGAGTGGCAGAATTTAGGTCCTTCCAATGACAATATTTATATGACTTCAATGAAGTTTTGTGCTTCCTTTATGTTCCTTGAATCATGAAGAAATCTTATAACAAGAACTTAGGAAAAAGAGAGATAGCATACACAAAAGGCTGTATTTTTCATTGCACACCAGAATATTTATACAAGATGAGCATTAAATACAATAATAACTAATCTGCCAACTAACTACTAACAGAGTTAATGCTACTAACAACTAACCTGCCAACTAACACAATAATAAATGCAAAATCTAACAGCTAGACTGAACGTAGCTTCCTAGAGAAGTGCATAAGAAAGTGGCAGACAACTAGGCTGATTATGTTGACTTTAATAGAGCTGAATATCAACACTCACCCTCAAGCTAGGCTATATATGTTGATCATGCCTAGCTTGCTACTTAGCTCCTCAAACTTGACTCTTGGCAGCGTTTTGGTGAATTATGCCATGTTTGGTAAGGTAGGATGAAAGGATGGAATTAAAATAATCCTTTGCATTATCTGACCGAAGGACTTTAATTTGGGTCTGGAATTGAGTTTGAACCATGGAGTGAAAGGCTTGGAATGATTCAGATACTTCTGATTTAGAGTGCAGCAGGTAAAATCCATTTAAGGCGAGCGTAGTCATCAATTAAGGTTGCAAACCAGAGAGCCCCATTGACATTTTTCACATTGGAGGATAAATGGATTTAACATGTTTAGATATTTGACACCACATACAGGTAGGAAAAGTTGATCTTTTATTGAATAAGTTGGGGTACATTTTTTTAATGTAATCAAAATTTGCCTAATCGATAATGCTATAACATCACATCCTTGTCATTTCCAGCAAGAGTCATGAGAACTTGAGGCGTCCAATTTTTTGCAATGATTTGGTAAAGGCCCCACCCATCCTCCTAGCATTGCCAATCTTCCGCTCCGAAACCAAATCCTGAAAAGAGCAACCATTTGAGTTAAAGATGGCAACACATTGTGAGTCTCTTGTTAATTGACTAACAGAAATCAAATTGCAAGATAACTTGGGAACAAACAGAACATCTTGTAATGTAAATCCTGTAGAAATCATTGCCATCCCAATTCCTTAAACTTCTATTGAGTTACCATCAGCCAAGCTTATGAAGATGTGATAGGAGAGAGATATTACCAGTCATATGGTGAGAAGCATTGGAATCCACTGTCAAAGTATCATCTTTGTCAGAAAAGTGTGGAGAGCAGTGAATTTACCTGCTTGTGCAATGGCGCACTAATGCTTGGAGTTTTTTCAGCATCACGAGACGTAAATAACTTCTGAATGAACTCAATTTGTTCCTTATTTAACAGATTAGAAGTTTTGGAAGATGACATGGTGTCATTGGATGTTGGGGTTGTGGCTGAATCCTCTACAGAGGTTGAATATCCTCTACCTTCCCTTTAGTATCGTGACTTCCAATTGGTGGGTTCCCCATGCAACTTCCAGCATACTTCTTTGGTGTGACCAAGTTTGTTATAATGATCACACCACGGTCTCCCGTTGCGCCTGGGTTTGTCATTAGTGAAGAACATTTTTCCTGCCATAAGAGCATTAGCTTCCATACCTGAATTATTATGTTGATGGCGCTGAACCAGTTGTTGACAGCTTTCTTTCCACCTAATTTCAGAGAACACCTCCGTTAATGAGGGTAAGGGGTGAGTAGCCATGATATGGCTGCGAGCACCATCAAATGAAGGGTTGAGGCTAAGAAGGAAGTGGTAGATACACTCTCTCTCCACATACTTGCGAAACGTTTCTGAACGGCCAGTGCACCCCCACTCCATGGTCTCATAAGTGTCCACTTGCTGTCAATTACACATTAGAGTATTATAAAATTGGGTAACATTTAACTCACCTTGTTTCAGGTTTATTAGAACCCTTTTAACTTGAAATAGAGTTGTTATCCTTCTTGGAGTAACCAGCCTTGACTCCATCCCAAATTTGTTTGGCAGACTTGCACATAATGTAGTTTTCTCCCATTTCAGCAGTCATGGAATTAATGAGCCATGACATAATGAGGTTGTTTTCTAAGTTTCACTGCTCATGTTTTGGATCGTCCTCATTGGGTTCTTTTATGACATCGGTGAGATACCAACCTTTCCTCTTCCTTTTGAGGTACACGAGAACACTTTGAGACCACAACAAGTAGTTTTCTCCTTTGAATCGATGTCCAGTGATGATAAGAGATGGACTTTCATTTGAGATAGGAGACGGGACTGTTGGGTTTACTGTTTCATTGTTGGGGTTTTAAGTTTCACCGTCAACATTAGTTTGAAGGGCTCGCATGGAGCCAAAATAGTGTGGACATGGGATAGGGATGGTGGTCAGGCCCTCAAGAGGAGAGCTCTGATACCATGAAGAAATCTTAGAACAAGAACTTAGGAAAAAGAAAGAGATAGCACACACAAAACTAATCTTCCAACTAACAGAGTTAATGCTACTAAAAACTAGCCTGCCAACTAACAACTAACAGAGTTAATGCAAAATCTGACAGCTAGGCTGAACATAGCTTCCTAGAGAAATGCATAAGAAAGTGGCAGACAACTAGGATGATTATGTTGACTTTAATAGAGCAGAATATCAACAAATCATTGCGTGGAATGATAGTGAATCAGTGATGATATATTTATAAACGAATGCCTTTATTTTTGAGCATGTATACGAGTCATATATTTATAGAACAAGTTCATGCATTGGACTTTGCTATTCCTCTATACTGGCACTTTCAGGGGTTAGCGACTTCTCGCGTTTGGTAGTTTTTAAACATAATAATAAGTTAATTATTATTTTATGAAAAATTAGATTAATTTAAATATTTATTATTTCAAGAATTAAAGATAGTTGGTTTATTTTTAAATTCATCATCATCTTTTATCCCAAATTAGTGAGGGTTAATTGTCGATTAACCCAAATAAGACGGAAGAAAAGATTGAGGGAAAAGAAAAATAGATAATTATAAGGAAAAAGGACGAAAAGGGGCCATTTGGAGCATAGAAATTAATGGGTCTACCCCCACAATGCTATTAACTTTCCTCCACCTTGTCTAAAGACAAACAATACGCTAATCTATTTTGATAGTCTTCTTTTATTACTTTTTCCCATGTAAGTTTTGGATGACTTCTTCCTTTCTTTGTGTCATGCTCTTGGTAATAAATTAATGTTCTTACAGGAGCGACTGACCCCTGAAAAGGCTATAGTGTTATAGCGGGTAGCAGTATAGCGCAATAACAAAGTCCTATGCATGAACTTGTTCTGTAGATATTACATGTATAAATGCTCAAAAATAAATACATTCATTCATAATTAAATATATTATCATTATCATTCCAAACAAGGATTCAAGAAACATAAATGATGCAACAAAACTTCATTGAAGTCTACTAAATAGGATCTAAATTTTGTCAATTACAATATTCTATATTCGAATTCAAACTCTAAGAAGGAGAGAGGTTTTCTTAGGAAAAAAGGCCGGCAGCCATTGGAATTAGCACGCATGGAAGGGTTTCAATATCTGTCTCAAACTTCAGTTGCTAGAACGGTTGATTGCCGGAAAAGGGTCTATTCACTTGCATCCTAATCGGAAAGGTCGATGATGGGGGTAGTGTTGTCGGTTGGTGTATTGTTGGGAGTTGTGGTTGTACGGTTTCAATTTTGAGTGAGTTGCGAAGGAGACACGCAATGGGAAGATAAAAAATTGCAAAATGTCTAGATTGCCCTTAAAATCTGATTGTTGGAACCCTAAACCCACGGGCAAAAGAGGAATTTTTCCCTTCATTATCGCTGGGCGATTACACCTCATTTTTGGCCGCTACTACAAATTATAGCGTTGCGTAGAGGAAATCGCAGTGACCCTACGCTACGCGAACCGCTATAGCAGCGCTATTGATAACTACGGGGGAGTTGAGGAGTTCCCGTTGGCAGTGTTTGGCTGCACTTGGTTGATGGCCATGATAATCTAATTGCTAGTCTGCCTCTGTTTGGTTGTGTTTGAAGTAGTGGAAGTAATTTTGTGGGGAAATTTTTGTTCTAGGTTTCTTTCTTCCCCTGCTAGGGGTTTGCGGATTGAAGACTTTATTTGTATTTCTGAGTTGTGACTTGGGGCAACAAAATGACAACTAGGACAAGAATGAGATTGTAAACCACCAGATCAGAATGAGGAGGTGCCGATGAAGATACCGGCACTTGAGGGCAAGATGTATGATGGAAAGTAAGGTGGTGTGTGAATATTGCCAGCTGAAAGGTAACCTGGATGGTGTGCAGTTGGATTAGCGCTATTTCTTTTGTAGTATGGGGATCTAATTTTCCTAATAATACTATTTTGCGCCTGCCCTTCTGTGTACTCGTCTGCCCTTTTAGCACCTCTTATTTTTAATACCTTTGCTTATTATGAATGAGAGAAGTAAAAAGGTCACTGCATGGCTACCTGCCAAGCATGGATGCTAATATGTTATTGACATAGTCTGGCTGGCACTCTTGATTCTTATTCTCAGTCACAAAGAAACAACTTTACCATTTCTCCTGGCTTGGTAGAACATGTAACAATGCAGGATTTGCAATTATTCCTTTTACTACTCGGTGGTTTTCCTTTGTGTATCTGTGCGTTTGATGGTTGCTTTGTCATCTCTGGGCTTTATCCTAGACATTTTTTTCTTCTCTATCATTGCACATGATGTGAATCAATCATATGGAGTGCCATGACAGAGTTATGTCTGTCTATCGAGATTAGTTCTGGTCCCTTATATTTTGTTTTTGATCAGACCTCCACCTAATTGGTCAGATGATAAGTGCAGATACATAGATGATAATCTTAATAATGCATTGATATGGACAACATAATGAAAAGGAATTCATCGCTGTGGATTTTAGTTTCTACTACTTGAATTATCATGGAACACTAAATTCTATCAGAACATACAAGAAAGTGTAGACCTTTGCTTTATATTCTAACAAGTAAGAACATGGAGTCAACAACAGTAGTGTCACCAAAATTATACTTTTGAGTTTTGAGTTCTTTATAAATTTCCTTTAAGTTACTGAATTTTCCGGTTAGCTTGCTTTTTTTTACTTTCTTATCTGATTTAATATGAGCATTTCTCTGTCTATTTGCTAATATGGTTGCTTATTTCCGCTAATTGCAGGCTAGTGGGGTGATCAGAAAGGAATATGACATGAAGTGTAAAATGTTAATGCATCTAGAATCAAAAGAAGTAAAGACGTCTACAATTGATAAAACTCGTGCCATAGTCAAGGATCTGCATTCTAGAATAAGGATTGCAATTCTTAGGATAGACTCTATATCAAAGAGGATTGAGGAATTACGGGATAAAGAGCTTCAGCCACAGCTTGAGGAGTTGATTGAAGGGTATGATTCTATAGATTTCTTTGTTTTGCTGGGGCTCTTTTCTTGATTTTATTTCATGTGTTAGCTTTATATTACATTATAATTTCCATACCGGGATAAAATGTGCACCATCTGAGAAAAGCAATTGGGAGTGTCTTTAATAAGCAGAAGATTTATGAGAAAAAAGTTTATTAGAAATTTTGTGGTGATTTTTTTTTTTTTGGTAATGACAGTCTTTCACTGAAATACACTGTTTCAAATTCCTATCCATTTTTTCATAGTGAAATAGAATTTAAATTGGTTTTTAATGTTATTCTGGTGCAAGGGACCCTGGTTTCTTTCTCTTCTTTGTTATGCTGGCTGCTGTCAAATGATTATCACCGTTCTATGCTAAGTTCTTTGTGCTGTGTCCATGTTCTTGCTTAGGGAGAATGCCTAAGTGCCAACAGTTGGACTAAGGAATCTAAACATCAAAAACCTTTTTAACCGCAAAAATTAGGAGTAATCTTATAGCTCAGCGTAATTGACAATTTACCAACTTCTAGTGTTAAGTTTAACTTCCGTAATTGATTATACAAGGTTGCTGGCTTTCTGTTTTGGAACTTTATTAACTTACTGATGTTGTACTAATAACCTTTGAATATGGATCAACTCATCAGTATGTTACTTGTGTTTTCATAGGTATGAAATGTAATGGTTTATACATGTTAATTTTGCTTGTGTCTATAAATATGAACTTGTTGCTTGTGTTTCATGTGTTTATTTTGCTTTGATGGTGGTAGGTTAAGTCGGATGTGGGAGGTGATGTTTGATTGTCACAAGCTTCAGTTTCAGATTATGTCAACAGCGTATAACAATAGCCATGCTAGAATCACAATGGATTCTGAATTACGTAGACAAATTACTTCGTATCTTGAAAATGAACTCCATTATCTATCATCAAGTTTTACCAAGTGGATTGGAGCCCAGAAATTCTACCTGGAGGCTATAAATGGATGGCTGTACAAATGTGTTTCTCTTCAACAAAAAACAGCCAAGAAAAAAAGGAAGCCTCAACCTCCACCCCTGACAAAGTATGGTCCTCCAATATATGCCACCTGTGATATCTGGTTGGAAAAGCTTGGTGAATTACCTATCCAGGATGTTGTGGATTCTATAAAGAGTTTAGCAGTGGAAACTGCCAGGTTCTTACCACTGCCAGAGAAGAACCGGGGTAAAGGAACATCTTGGAAAGCTGATATTGGTAACGAATCAACGGATAATCTATTGAGAGATGACACTTCAGAGGACTGGATTTCAGGTTTTGATCGATTTCGAACAAGCTTGATTAGATTTCTTGGTCAATTAAATAATTTTTCTGGGTCTTCTGTCAAGATGTACACTGAACTCAGAGAAGCCATTCAGAATGCTAAGGGTAATTACCATAATATATCTCATTTGCATTCTCAATCTCTAGATGATCATTCCAAGTCACAACCTCAAGTTGCTAAGTCTGAGAAGAGAGACTCCAAACAATAAGAAAAGAATTGCACTGAACATTGTGGAGTTGCAGTGTTATAGCTTTACTCATGAATGTTGACTTTCAGACACAAGTCCATTGGATGTGGCATTTGTACATGAAGAGGACGGAATAAATTTTTTACTGGTTGGTCATACTTTATATGATAGTTTCATCTTTTTAATACTACTAGGTGAAAGCTGTAATTACTAGGTTCTGTTCAAGAGTAACATATGCTATGAGAAGGGAACTTGTATAGTGTCATTTTTGTAAACAAAGTATCTCTTATTTAACTTTTACTTGGTTTTCTTTACCAAAATAACTTTTTAGCATTTATGATATGCATATATGGCTCATAGGTTAAGGTTTATTTGAATTTCAGGAGGGCACTGACAGGTGAAAACTTTTATCAGCTAATTTAACTCGTAAACTCGTGAGATTAATATTTTCTAAATCAGTTAAGCTTTTATGCTACTTGATACTTACTATTGTATTTTATAGAAAAGGGCCCTGTGTAATTCAGTATTTCGTGGGAGGATATTGAACTTTATTTCTATATTTGAATAATGTGTCAGGGCTATTGATAGGTTTTTTTTCAAAGCACACTTTTTCATTTTATTATTATTTGTTTCATATGTCCTTATATTAAAAGATGCTGATATATATATATATATATATATATCGGTGTAAGGTTAAGAATTCTGAGCTACTTTGATAATCAGGGATATTAGTGGAACACTGGTACGTATGGATCTCAAAGAGCTTTGATATTGCTTTCCCCTCCCGGGATATAGTGAAGTAGACATTCGAATCCATGTACATGGGATATATTGTTTAATTTTCTTGTTAAGGATTAAGTTTTCCATGCTACTATAATATATAATCCCTTATTAGAGGTAAAACTATTAGGATTAATGTGACATTAAAAATAAATAAGTGGATTGAGTAAATGCAATGTTTCTAATTTAAGTAGGTGCTACACTGAGAGCTACGAGTACTAAAAATTTTCGGAAATATTCCCTCGTGTTTATGTAGTTGAAATGGTTACATCATCTTCCTGACATACTACTCTATCTCCACCATTACACACAACAAAATATATTGTTCTTTAACTTGGAATCTATATAACAAGACCTGGTGGTTCTATAATATCCAATCACTCTTTCTTGGACCTCACAACAAATACTCAGTCCACTTCCTTGGGCTGAACAACTAATATAGGAACTATGTCTATTTAATGATATACTTCGGTCATAATTTTTATTAGTTTTATTCTTAAGGTGCAACCAATATGAAACTTTAAACCTTATTTATGCATATTATGATAAATATTTGTTAAATCATGAAGTGATATTTACCACAAGAGCCAAATAATTAGGAATTGAAAATCAAACCGAAACAAATCATATTCATTTATAGAGCCGAATTAAATTGCATCATATTTTTCTGAACTACAATTTGACTTTTTTTCTCAAACCGATTCAATAATTAATTATTGTTCAAAATCGATTTGCTTTATCTAAACCAAATCACTTTATCGATTCGATTCGACGTTGAAGGTAGAACATCAAACCGAACCGAGTCCATATCACCATCTAGGCTACTTTTGCTCATACTCGAACAAAAAAACGGCTATTTTGCAATATGATAAATTGTTGGGACAATTCAATCAAAAAATGGCCAACGCATACTCAAATTGAATATGAGACTATTTAAAGAATCTATATCCATCTATTCGCTAACATGCGTATGAACTTGTGTTATAATTTCAAGATTTATACACGTTGATTTGGCCTTTTTGTTTATTAAAACTGGGCGTATAACTTTTTTCTTTTTATAAACTCCTAGCATCTTCCGAGGGAGATAATCTTATTCGGGGCGGATTCAGGATTAAGTCTTTAAACTTCTTCCAAAGATGATAGGAAGGATTAAACACATGCTCTCACATTACTTGCTCAGCTCCCATACGCCAACTGAGCTACCGTCATTTGATACTATCAGCATATTAGTATTTTTCTTATTTTTATTTTTGCTGTAATTAATAGTTGCTGAGGTGTACCTGTTTCTGTTTTGCACCTCTTGTGTGCGTGTGAGTTTGTTAGGCACCTCGTTGTTAGTATATGGATGTCCTAGAGACAATCTTTTAATTAGATTAGGACATATGTGGACCTTTGTATTGTCGTAAATAAATAAAAGCACTATTTATCCTGTTTCATATTTTGTCTCAATATTACTGTTAATATTTGATATGAGTAACTGGATAAACCCCTTGGAATAAAATAGGTATCTCTTGAGTATCTGTGATGAGATCACGATCATGAGGATTCAAGGATACTGGATATTTATTCTTAATTTTATGTTCTTAGTCTAGAGACACTGAGAATGGGATCAGTGATCTCGGGTAAGATTAGCACGACTTATCTACTTGTATTCGGATGCAAGGTAAAGACCTCATGAGCTACAGATATGGAGATGTCTTAGCTAAAGTCGTGGGTGGATCTATAAGGGTATAGCTCGCACTGAACATACCCACAAAAGAGACTCTATGATGAAATCTTACAGAGAGTATTATTAGAGTAGTCTCTTTATATTTGGGTATGTCTTTCCTTAGACCAGAAGTTATTACCTAGACTGTGTTCTAGAAGGCATGCTTTGACTGTATACCTCGTCTGCCTGAAACATGGAGACTCATAGGTATACTGTTGGGCTTGTCCTGAAAGAGCACAGGGCTAGGGTGATAAGCTGAAGGAATTCGTCAAATCTCTGTGAGAGATTAGGTTATCTGTAAACCGGAGAAATCAGGATGACATTTACAGGGACTCGGGAATCTATGCATAGTAAAAGAGATCATGAGATGATCTGCCTTTAGAGTCAGTAAATTGAAAATTTAAAGCTTACCCTAAACCGCAAGGGTTGATAAGCTTCCTTACCCTAGGTTTTATGGGAAGGTAACCGAGACGAAAAGAAATACATACGACAACCAAATATGTGTAATAGGATGATCAAATCATTAATCTAACTAGCTCTGGGGCAACAAAGCATTGCTAGTGCTCTGTGTTGTCATTAAATGGGTTGTGGGCTTGTTGGGCCCGAGCCCATTTATGTCAGTGGCTATGTTGGACCTAATGGGTCAAACACTAAAGGTATTGGGCCTAATAATGGTTGTTAGCCCAAGATGAAGTTTGAAAGCCCACCTAAGAGGGAGAGGGCGCATGGTATTGTTAATGAGTTTGGATGGTCCAAGACATTACTAATTAATTTAATTAGTTAAATTAATTATCAAATATTTAAATTTTGAATTTTGAAATTTGAATTTGAATTTTGAAATTTGAATTTTGAAATTTGAATTTTGAAATTTGAAATTTAAAATTTGAATTTTGAATTTTGAATTTTGAATTTGAAATTTGAATTTGAATTTAGAATTTAAATGTTTGAACGTTTGAATTTAAATGTTTGAATTCAAATTTGAATTGGCTATGAAAAGTTGTTTCATAACAAAAGGATAAGATGAGATCTTGGAACAAATCCCTTGTATCAAGAGAAGATCTATGGAGATCACCAAGGGCTGATTTGGGGCGCCATTTTGGTGGGAGATGATTGTCATCTTGTCAAACCAACAAGCTCCAATCAGATTTGGTTGTTGAGAGAATCAGTGAGCTAGTTGGTTCAAACTTGAATGCAATAGCTCAAATGTATCTGGACCCTTTTTGGGCTGAATAGGGGCGCATGAATTGGTGGTCATATGATGACCATTGGTTCAGAATTTTGACTAGATAAAGACCTAGTCTTATGAGATTCAAAGGGGAGGTTGTTGGGATTTTTGAATTGCAACAACTCCACCTTTGTCTCAGTCACTTGTGCGCCACTTTCATTATAAGTAAAGTAAAAATTCTGATTTGAGACACTAATTCTCTCCCTCTCTTGTGCGCCTAGTTGGTGAGTTCCTCCTTAAGGTTTTTCAAAAGAACTTAGCCAATTCTTCTATATACCATTCCCACTCTTGTGAAGTTTTCATGCTGGAGACTTCACTCTTCTAAACACATATACCTAGCCTCCTTCTTCACCTATTGAGCGCATAGCAAGCCTCTCTGTGGTGGTCAATTGGTGGCTTTCAAAAAAGCGTTTTTGCATCTTGACGTGGGTGGTGTGGATCAACGTTAGAGGGTTTGAACCCTTCAAACCTAACACTGATCGTCTTGGAGTTTTGAACTCACAAACAAAGGTAACATCACATGCCATAAAGCATGAATCTTGATTGCATGTGTAATTCCGCATATGAAAAATTTTATTTTTCCCTCTCACATGCTACGACCTTCAAGCCATTTTACTTTCAAGTGGTATCAGAGCCTGATTGCTTTACCATCGGCAGGTGATGGTACTTTGTTTGTGAAATTAATTTTCTCACGGTCAAAAGGTCTTTTTGTTAAAGATTAATTCTTTGCATGTGGATTTTTTTATGAACATGTTTAATATGATTATGGTGTTCATATATCTACATGACCTCATGGTTTTGTTTGTTTTGATTCTTTGTGAAAGTTTTCAAAAGAAACATTTTTTTGAAAAGGGAATATGATTCTGCCATGATGTGAATATTCAAATGCATTATTTTCTCCATGATTTTATTTAATAAAATTTTTGTATATGATGATGTATGGTTCGACCATATGAGTTATGGTTGAATAAATGGTTTAATTTTTGTGATCTTTGATAAAGATTTGAATTATGCATAAAGATGCAAAATTCGACCATTGGGAGAAAATTGGAAATTTTTTGAATTTTGATATTTTAATTGTTAAATTATCAAAATATATGTGAGGGAATATTTATATAATATTTGATATTATGTGCTTGCAAGTTGTTTAAATTTTCAGGTGCAATTTGGAAGGGGATGGTCATGGTGCCCGAAATTCGAATTTCAAATTTTAAATTAATGTGTAATTTTGTTCTATTTTAATTAGAGTTGTAATTTGAATTTTGAATTTTCAATTTTTATTATTTGTCCCTCCAAAGATGTTATGGAGTTTCTTTAATTATATGTAAATAGAGAATTAGGCTAGTGGCGTATAGACGACGAGGAGCCGATGCTTGAGAAGCAAGATGGACAAATGCACGAGCACCATGACCATCTCAAATAAAACTGTTTTATATGCATGTATGCTTTTATGTTTTGAACGACTAGTATGCATGAATTGGACAAATCGCGTTTGTATGTATTATTATGCATGTCCAATTACGACTAGTGTAATCCGATAGATGTTTGACATAGGATAACGACTA